ATTTAGAAACGTGCAAATTTGTTTTTGTTCGAGTAGACGCGGTGAAAAAGCCATTGACACCACCATATGAAGGCTCTTATAAAGTAATAAAACGCACTCACAAATATTTCATTATCAACAGAAATGGGAATAATGAGACAATTTCCATAGACCGAATAAAACCAGCTTTCTACGAAGTCCCTCAAGACACAGAAGACAATGCTGCCAACAAACAATCACTCCCATCAATTGCTAAGAAACAAGAAGAAGAGGAAGAACTTAGCAATACACCCTCTTGTTTAACACGTTCTGGGAGACTTATAAAAAAACCAAAGCGTTACGTACATTTTGCCATATAAAAAACTAAAACAATCAAAGAAAATAATTATCGAGGACCTACACTATCAAGCCCATCTAAAACATTTTTTCACAGTGTACATAATTAATCACATTTTTCCACAATTATTCGTTTTGTCACATTTTTTTGTTATAATAATAAACGGGTAATGACGTATTCATTGTACACAAAAATAAACAGTTCAATTTTTATTTGTGGGTCATTAGCAGTTTTGCACATTATTATTATCATTGTTAGCCAAACAAGACATTAAATGACAGTGTTTTCATTTTTGTGTGTGTGTTTATTATGTTATGCTACATCTGTGCTATTTTCATACAAAAACGTACATGTCATACTCATCTCAACACTTCTATTAGTTACAACTGTAAATATTATTTTTGTATACATGTATATATCATATCCTTACATTTTTTTGTTATTATAACCAGTGTTACCTCCGGACACTCTGGGGGAGCTATGTGGAGATAGGCCTGATAAGCTTATTTTGTAAATAGTTTTTAATATTATTTGTATTTATTTTGTCGATCTTCCATTGTCTGTATATTTTACCATTAAATGATTGTCTCTGTTGTTTTAGTAAATGTCCTTGAACACACTTTCCGCTTTGATACTGACATAGCGTGACACACTTGTGGTTGTTCGCAAATACACTACTACTACTACACACACACACCTTGTTCTATTCTCACGCGTTATCGAGCCAATTGCATTCTAAGTAGAATATTATCCACATTGTAGAGCCAGCGAAATGTAACCAAGCCCTAGCCAAATTATCCAGCAGTTGGGTCATTCAATGTCAAGCAAATCATCGATCCTCGTCAAGGTCAGTGACAACCAACGCGCATCAGTTGATCGTATGCCATGGACTAGCCCATGCGGCAGTGGTCTTACTTTCGCTTGTATCTAGTTTAACTAATATATTTCTGTATTAATGTCCTCTGTGTTGTACGGCCTTCAAAGCATCTATGGTACCTTGATACGTCAATGGGGTAGTCCACGTAAGGTGCTGACCACGAGGTGTGACTTCGACGTTAGCTAGTTTGTCACACCATTCACGTCTAACTCGAGTAGGCGTCCAATCATTTCGACATAGATCATCTACGTTGGTGATCTACAACATCCTACGTCAAGGAAACTTACTGGAGTCACATTTACCTCATCGGAGTTATTACTCATTTATGATTGTGGATTTTGGTACCAAAACTCAACGGAATACGCGACAACTAGCTGATTTAAGTAGCATCCCTGAAATTTTATTTTGTGTTACTAATTTATAAATTATTAGTGTTACATTAACTTTTGGGCGTAATAATTTTATTGCTAATTTTTGGTTAATATACTTTTTGGTCCACCACAAGCTCAACAGAAAAGGGGAATGAGTCAATATGACAGTCGCCATAAACAAATATCATTTGAAACAACATAGATGTAGTTCAGGAAGAAACAAAGAAATTCAGTGAAAAATTAAGGAAACCAAAGTCTACAATAAATTAAGAACAGTACTATCTCAACTGAGTTCACAAGATTAACGAAATCTAAGGCTGAAAGAATCGAGAAGTATAAATCCAAAAAGTGTGTCCGTGTCATTAGCGTTTTGCTTCGTTGGACACCAAGCACTTACGCTCTTAATCGAAATCAGCTCCCTATTATTTTCTCAGTGTGACCTCAGGCTTGTTACCAAGGTGATCTTGAATCCCAGCTTAAACTACATAGAAATGAAGCTAAGGCAAACTCAACTACTGACCTTATGCATAGGCAATTTAGCGCAATCACCCCAGATCTGTCTGTGACACTGTTTCGAGCGTCCGCACAGCTTTATCATGGATTCCACGATGTCGTTGAGCCACCTCTACTCAAAATAGGTAAATATCCTAAATCATGTATGGACACAGTCAACAAAGTGCGTGATGGGTCTAGATCATAGATCTTGAGAATATAGACTTAAACGCCTTGTATTATTCTCGTCGTGCTACAGTAGAATAATACTAAGTACTCCAAGCTACCTCAACGCGAGCATATTACCAAAACACCATCACCACGTTCTTCGAGGAAACCGCCGGGAGATTGCAAATAAAAAAACGAATCTCGAATCTCAAGAACAATACTTTCGTTTGTGCTCACGTAGTTCATTTTGATCTAGATTGCGCGATTTCTGGGATTCCTGGCTCGTATAATGATTCAAACACTTCTAATCATCACACAGATATTCAAATGTTCTCTCACATTTTCTCAATAAGAGTTGCTCCTATTTGGACAATGTGACTAGAGCAATACCATTGGAAAGCTTTAGGAGGACATCTGAAAAACATTAACTAAACCATGGATCATCAGCTTTTTTGGACAGGTGTGTCTGATGCCTGTCTCATAAATTAGCACAGTTGTCACTAATGAACACTTGTAACGACTTCGTTTATCTCCGGTTCGTATTCCCGCTTTCTCATACACCTTGGTCTTCCCAAAATGTCTGCATTTCAAACTCATTAACTTACGTATCACTCCCGAGATAATCCTCTTCTCTTTGCACTAGAGTAACTACAACCAGCCAACCTTTTGTCCGATTATATGATTGCTGCGGATATCCGGAGACCCTACTATCCTGAGACACACTCGCCAACTAAAATTGCAAGATTTTCAAGTCAAAAAGGATAATCAAAATGGCAACAAATACCGAAGCCACGTAACCAGACTATCATCATTTAGACGCTATAAAGTACCTAGAACAGTAGATAAACAATAGGAAGCAAGCTCAGGACGAGGATATTGGATATTTGTTACTGTTCGTGCGCCAAACATAACTTCAAGGTTAGATCAAGGCTAAACAGTTTAAGGGGTGTGAGTTTAGTTTGGGAGATTCATTCTTTGTTTATTGTATAATTGAGGTTTAAAGTTTTGATTCATACAAGTGGCAAGTCTTTTAAAGAATCAATCGGCTTATTTAAATATATTGTCTTTTTGAACTATTTAGCTTCAGATGTTCAATGGAATTGTTAATTTTTCGTTACTTAATGCTAGTCTAACACATTAAGATGTGTCCTTCCAGCTTTGCTGAACTATTTTTGCGTGAGATTCGTCGTGGTGTCTGCTGTAAGGGGGTGGCACGAAATATGTAGTAATTTAACTATGTTGCTTATCTTTATCTAATGCCAATGTCATCATCCAGTTCTTTATTTGTTTTATAAAATTACTGCGCTGTTACGTTTAGCGGTTCGTGTTGGCGTTCTGAACGTTAAAATGTAGATTTTGACTACTTGTTTCTGTTTATTTGAGATGCGTAATTCAATAGTTTCAACGAATAATCAAATAACGATAAAATACTTGTTTAAAGTTCACCAAATCTCTGAATATATGTATTTAGCGAGGAAAAACCCACTATAACTCGCCGTTTATTCTTATGCATACCGTGATCGCAACTTAGATCAAGTAAATATAAGCCTTACAGGAAACTTTTTACCTGCGAAACCATAATGTACGAACAAACCAATGAAATTAGGAATATTAAGCCTTAGGTTTTGGCGCGAGTTTCATTCGTCCACATACCTAAATGATGTTATAGCTGGTGTCCTGAGTTTAAACTCGTAATCCTAATTCCTTTTACTAGTTCATAACACTTTTCCGATCCTAGAAAGTTGATGATTCGTCTTAAGGTCACTTTAAAGTCGTTCAAACGCCTTTCAAAAACCTTAGTTTCACCGACCGGATCAATCTGAAAGATACTTGAGTGGGCCTTATAGTATTTCAGCCGAGTGAACAGATAACGGTTATTGTTTTCTGAAATTATGCTTGGGCAGCCGATTATTTTTAAAAATAATAGAATTTAAGCATTAGAAAAGACATTGGTAGCCCCTAGCACAAACCCAGTAATGGACATAAATCGATCACTCCGCCATCACTAATCATTAAGCAGGATCGATTAAAAACTTCCGCTCCTTCTGGAGTACATGCCTGAACTTCGATCATAATACAATAAAATTTCGTTTATCTATGAGCTTTACTGGATTTGTGGAGGCCACAGCAGGAAAACCATTTAGATAGCAATTTAAAGATAGAAAGTTCAGGGATACATGCAAGGAGGAATTAGATATGCACTTGGTCGATTGTAGTAAGAGTTTATCTTGAAGACTCTCGAAATGATCGATAAGCAACATACTTTTAGTAACAGTTCAGCTGTCCTCCATATATGTTCTGGCTACTCACTGTCCCAAAAACTTGAAATCACACAAATCCTTTAACCTTTAGGTTACAAAGGCCATAGCTAATCTAAAGTGATAAAAAGCAGAAGGCCCTGATCGATTAATGACTGAGATCCTTATGGATAGCCGTCAGATTTTAGCTGCTAAACTGACTGAAATACAGACTAGAGTTTGGGACTATCAAACATTCATAAATCTATCAACCATGAGATTAAGCCTTTTATCACTTTAAGCATCCGGATTTTGTGCTATTCACACCGTCATACTTTGTTTTCTTAAATTTTATTTAATTAGACGCAGTATCTTTACAGTTATGTAGATGTCTGCTCCTCGATCCTTAATCATTTTTATTTTGTCTACTGAAATGCCTAAAATGTGAAGTTTTTCAAAATTATGTATTTCTGAATTTACAGGTTGCGAATCGTTGATGTAGAATAAATATCTACCTCCGATTTTAGTTTACATTTACAATGCCAACACAACATATTGCTCTGGCATTATTCTTAGTTCTGTTGGCAATTGGAGTCATCATTTTGATCAGCATACTAGTTATTGTCAAAAGACGTATAGCTCGACGAAAAAGCCGAATAGGACGTACTACTTATAATTCATGTGGACATGGTCTACCAAAAGTAAGATAATGTAAATTTACTTGTACTTTGTCGGTTGCAACTGAGTGATTAAGTCCCTCATTTTCCCGAACTAAGTATTCTCGATAAACTCGGGAAACTTACTCGTCATAGGTTATTATTGTCTGTACAAATCAGTGAAATTGTAGAAATAAAGGATTTTGTATCCATTGGACTCTTAAACTAGTTGTTTATTGAATCACAAATAGTTATCCTTCGGAAATAGTTTAATAGTTGCTGGATTTTAATAAGCTATGAGTGAAGTAAGATGTAAAATCAAAACTTATCTAGTGTTGATTCTAATATTACAACTAAATTTTTCTTTAGTCAAAATAAAAAATGCTTTGTAGACTTGGTTACACAGAGGTACTGACTGTTGTCTTAAAATTACACAGTTATCGAGGTAAAGTTGAAAATTAGTAAACAAAGAGGTATTTTTAACATAGTTTTCGACTCAGGAACTCAGAGACCACTAGTTACAATCTGATTTTGTCCAAGGTATCCTAACGACTTTTATCATACTCGTCACGTTAAAGGGTCAAATTGTGCTCTTCAAGAATTTGTACTAAAACATAGACTGTTTTTATTCATTTTGGGAATGCTTTTTTCATAACTCAGTCTTTCCCGACTACTGATTTGTGTGAGGCTTGTATAAACTGCTTCAGTATCAATGTACTAACATGAATACATCTAAACGGCTTCACTGTGTATCTATAGTTAATTATTTTGGTTACCTAGTGTTCTTTTTCTGGTGGTCCAAGAGTCATTTTATAACTCACGTAAATTTCTCTTGTATTACCTCAATTTGACTGTTCCTATTATTTTTGTTTACTAAATTATTGTAAGCCGATGCCTTCTATGCCTACTTAAAACATAAATCGAAAAACTCACTAAACAAAAGCTTATGCTTTCTTTTATCAATCTACTACCTTGTTTTACTTAATATGTATTCGAGTTGAGCGAAAAAACTATATTGTATTGTATAATTGTAGTCCTATAATAATACCCCTCTTTTCAAACATTGCAGTTCTTAAAAACCAATTACAATTCATTTCCTTTGTAAGAGTTTGCATCTTCTTATTGATGTTAAGGACTACAATTGATCAGTTTCAAAGTTGATCATCTCGATATTTCCATTAAGTCACAAACACTTTTTAAACAGAGTTCGATAGTAACTGATTGGATGCTCTTTTCGTTCTATTTGAGACTAGTCAGCTGGATACATCTGCATCCCAGATTTGATTTTAGCACCTGGAATCGAACTTAGTACTTTTCGCTTATACCGTCCAACGCGTCAACCGCTTAGCTGCTGAGTCTCGATGGGGACATCAACACTGGAGTACATGCAGATTCAGCTGACGAACCTTATATAGGACGGAACGAGAATTTTGAATTTCACTACTAACCACCAGCCAACTCTATATGAACAAGTACTATCTATTTGTAAGGGCTTATACTGAGTTGAATCTTATATTTCTTTATTTATTTACGATCCAAGGTTTGGAAATCAAATATCGAGAAAAAAATTAATGGCACTGTGAAAATACGCACTGAACCTCAGGTATTCGGTCCTCATTATTCTGAAAATTACGATGTCTACACTTCTACTGGTATGTATAATGTAACCCAAACATCAATAATTTGGCTTATTTTCTTTATCATATTACAGGTGAAGTAACTTTCCTTTATCGTGCTAAAACAGTCGATCAGTTTCTCATGTTAAGTAGGTTGGTTGTTGAATTTTATTTTTTTACTTTTTAATAAAAATAACTTATAAACGTTAATTTGTTGCTTTTTTCTTCCCCTTTTTTCTGTTTTGTATTTCAAATAGAACAAGCCATACTTTCCTTAGATTCGACATTAGAAGCTCCTCCATTAAGAGATATACGTGATTTCTTATTGACAGCTCGTCATAATGTCATGAATCCGCCACCATCTCGTGATCACATTGAAGAATATTGTCAACTGTATTTATGGGCAAGGCATGATTTGAATGTACGTAAGTTGTTCTTTATTCTTCTCTCTACTACTACTACTGCTACTACTACTACCACTGCTACTCCTACTCCTATTCTACTCCTCCTCCTCCTACTACTACTCCTACACTTCTACTACCCTACCAGTACTACTAATACTACTATGTAGTAGTTTAAAATCATTGAAAAATACATATTCTACAAATGTTGGTTTCTCTTTCTAGCCTTTTGGTGAATCAGAATATAAACGGTTTTGTGAATTGCAAACTAATTTATTAGAAATGTAAGTTTATATTTATAAATTGTGTTAATCTGTTCTTCTAATTTGTATAACTTGTTATTTTATAAGTTGGCTTTCATCACAGAATGATCACAACTGGGGGCGCCGTTGAGATCTACCAGAGAACACCAACAAAAGGCTTCATTTTAGTATAGGGCTCCTCGTAGGAAACAACCACTTAGTACTCCCTGATATCCAATTGTTCCCCAATTTGTAATCAATTCATGACAAAAAGCGGATAATATGTTCAATGAATGAATCCTAATTTATTCTCTTTTATATTCTCTAATTAAGAGACATGATGGAAAAAACATCTCAAATGAGAAGGGTATCGGCCTCTTGATTTCTGAAAAATCTCAGCTTTCACTGTTAGGTGTCGTAACTCTTTTATATGAAGATGCTTTGACTTACCGAGTAGAGCTTAGTTGGTTTGTTCTACTGTGTTGTTATAACAAGTAACCATACCAATATTTTGTTCTAGATACAATACTGGTATGCAGCACTCACCCAATAAATGAACGAGAAAGAAATGCTGGAGTTGCTGGAAATCGAACGATTTTTTAAACACTGGAAAATAGATAGGCAACTTCATATAGGTCATCTTGATTTAAATTTTAAAACGAATTATAGGCAACTATAACAGTAGTTCTGTGTGTAGTTACTCTAAATAGTTGCTTACAACTTGTTTAGTGATACAAAATGTTCTTTGATGTGATGACATGATTTCATCATAAAAATATATCTACGACCTCGCCTCGCGAGACTCGAACCCACGACCTATCATTCTCGCGCGCGAGCACTTAACCACCGGACCACTGAGCCGGCATCCGACGGTGTTAATGTCTAACTTCGACCAATTCATGAGACTGAGAGACACATCCACCAATGTCTTCAGTGTCGCTCGATTTCGTGGATTGGTTGAAGTTAGACATTAACACCGTTGGGTGCCGGCCCAGTGGTCTGGTGGTTAAGCACTTGCGCGCGAGACTGATAGGTCCTGGGTTCGAATCTCGCGAGACGAGGTCGTGGATGCTCATTGCTAAGGAGTCCCACAATAGGACAAAACGGCCGTCCAATGCTTTCAGGTTTTCCAAGTTGGTCTAGCTTCAATTGACTCATGATCTCAACTAATAAAATTACTATAATATCCACAAAAAACCCTTCTGAGATAAAGTATACGTTTCATGATTTCGATTTCATTGTGTCACCTTCATTATTACTGTTTTTTTTAATCGTTCAAGAGTCAATCGTACAAAACCATGGCCTGTCTATTCATCAGGTGGAACCAATACTATTGGTCAGTCATCATCTGAACAGTCATCAAAGATACATAAAAGAAATCATTCAAATTTTAAAATTAATTTTCCATCATTTCTATTTAAGGCAACAGAACATTCACAACTTCGTGTTGTTCATTCAAGTGCTTCTGTTACAACATTAACAACTACAATACCATCTTCATCATCACCGCTAACAACAACAATAACTACAAGTATTGCATTATCAACACCTACATTGTCATCACCATCAACGTCTATAGTTAATCAATCACGTCCAACACGTGTTAAAGTATTATCCAGAACTGGACAACCTAGCGGTTTAAATTTAAAACGTTTATCTCATTCAACACATCGTAAAAAGCATGAATTATTAGTTTCATCATCTGAACATGAAACGCTTACTAAAAACTCACATTTAATTCATCCAAGCCATGTCTTTACAAATGATATCATCGGTGAAATTGATTCCAGTGTAGATTTATTAAATAAAATTGATAGAATAGAAACAAAAACCGGTAGTTGTTCACATCGTCGTGATAGTTGTCAAAGTGATGGTTCACAAACAGCGTTAATTGATTTAGAACCTGTTATTGTTGTGAATCCATCGAAAACATTATCACAACCATCACGACAAATAAAACTCAGTGAATCTTATATTATTCAACCGGATATAAAAAATCTAACACGATTTAACAAAGGTGAGTATGTGTTATGCATTATTCTATTGGTTGTTATTCAATTATGGGTTATGTATGTAGTTACGTTGTCTCTCGTCTAGTAGCGTTTCGAATAATATACACCTGAATCAGCTTGATATAAATAAAAAAAAGTTAGGAAGAAGGTTACATTATCAGAGGGCGGGTAAAACAACTTACTTACTTACGTTTGTTACCCCTCGTGGAGGAGCATAGGCTGCCCTCCGGCATTCTCCATAGAACTCTCTCCTGGACAATCCTTTCCAGTTGTTATTCATTCTTTTGATGTCTGATTGCAATTCTCGATGCAGTGTGTTCTTTGGCTTTCCTCTTTTCCGTTTCCCTTCAGATCTATTATGATTTTGGTTGTACTAAAAATATTCTGCATTATTTCCTTTGTACTATTTAAACTTGTGTTAATTTAATTCGGTTATTTATTTACTCTGAGGAAGTGGCTTACATTGAGTTACGAAACGTCAGAACTACAATTTTTCTACTCATTGCGATGTAACAAAAAATATATTAATTACTAATGATAGAGATAATTAGTTTCATTGGTAAACCACGTTTATGCAGTTTGGTTTGTCCGTAATTAGATTGTGGTTGTCAGCCAAATGGTTCGAGTTGCTCATATGGTGTGTGCTACTGATGTATCACCATCCAACAGTAGAATGACTGGCAGCATCAAGTTGAGAAGATTGAAGAGAATAGAACGGGAACAAAGAGTAATCGTTATGGAAACGAAGGAATAACAGAGTCTGAGACAATTGGTGGATATTTTGCAAATGTAGTATTTACTGTATGGCTCTCAGATTTTACCAAGGTATTCTGTAGTGTACTAAACTACATTTGGTGGTCCCCGCTTGTGTTCTCATTCACAACACTCATACCACTGATATGATAATTTCGACTGTGTTAATTTCCTTTTTTTCAATTTACTATCTCAATATTTTGACATAAACCGTGTCGATTGAAATCGATACACATTTGCAACAGGTTTTGTATTAGTTGTATCTTAGGGCTTGGTTGGAGGTGTTCTGGAGGGAACGCCGCCTAATCTAGATTTCATTCGAGGTGTGACTCTTCATTGGATACTGACTCTGTGGTCCATCTATCTTTCTTGATTCATTAGGTTCGTTTCTTATTTACGTTTACCCAAAGTCATGTGCGCAGTTGTTTAGTGGTTACAGTATGGCAACCCACAATTAGTAGGTCGCAAGTCGGAACACAACTCCCCAATTCCACCTTCAGTCCATCGTTAGCATAACTAACTATTCACACAAAAGGTTTATCTCAAACCGAGTACATAAACTTGTGCCTGAAAAATCTGTTAAATTTCACTTTAACTATAGGTTAATGATTCGTAAGACCTGAAGATCTTGTGTTATGGCCCATGTAGCATTGTGGGTAAAACCTGTTGATCAGTTCTTAAACAGTATGAAACCACTTCAGTCTTTATGAGCTTTTAGTGACTGATCTCCCACACACACACACACCTCCAGATAGTTTCGTTTGTGATTTTGAAAGCAAGACAGTCGTCACTAGTGACATTGGATAATGGGCGTAAATTAATTCAAATTCAAATTTGTACCATTAGGTTCAAACTCATTGGTTTAATTATTAAGCTCCTGGGATCACTTGTATGTCATGGTTTTGATCACTGATTTGGCCGTTGGTGCACATTACTGAGTAGTCCTATACTATTTATTTATTTAAATACATAAACATTAGTACAAGGAGGCACTAAACAGATATGCACCACACAAATCATTCGATTAGTGTGAGGGCCGCGATACCTCCCGGGTGCCCAAACCGAAACAGGTGGTTTTCTCAGGGGGCCACACCCGGAGTCTTTGACCTAAAGGTCTGATAGACAAGGTAGTGGAGCAACGTGAGGAGATGCAGTCCCATGGTAGCCGGTGACCAACAATGGGCTCATACGCCATTTGTTCCTTCAGGATACTAGAGCCCATGTACACCATTGGTTTGGAATTAGGGTTTTCCAACAACCCTCTTCGTGTCCACCAACCCGGTTAGATCGCCGGACATGTGCTCTTCATCATTTCAGTTTCGTAAACAATACCCTCGCCATGAGAAAGCAGTGTGTAGGACTTCCCAGTCAGTAGTTGTATGCACATGGTCATTTGAGAGTATTAGGAGAGGTACAGCTGACTCTCCTTACTCTCGGTTGTACCACGGAATTTGTATTGTAAAACAGCTGTTTAGTACTTCATAGTTTTACAAGTTGTTTAGTTCAATTTGAATCTGTGAATAATACCATTTACAATAACTCTCTTAATTATCTAGAAATTGAAATCTACTTTCAGTTATATAATCATTTTTACATTTCAATTCTTTCTTTTTTAGGTATGGAAAATGAAGCTGTAAATTGTTGATTAATTTATATTGTAAATACATTTTCAATAGTTACCAGTTATACTTTCTTCTATACTCTTATGGATCAATAATAAGTAGTATATATCTGTATAGTCAGTATTTAAGTAGTATATCTAATAATGTGTAAATATTTGATGTTTTATTTTTTAATTTTCTGCAAATCTGTCTCCATTTAAACATTTGTAAATAGTAAAATTCATCTTATTGTTATTTATTTTAACCATTATAAATTTCAACTTATTTTTATGGAATATCTCTGAAGTTCTACTACTACTACTACTACTACTACTACTTTTTAAGCTTTGATTTCAATCGTTGTGAGATTATTTCAGAATATAGTTTTCACATATTTAATCACTTCTGTATACTTGACGCCCAATTTCTGTCAAACTATTCATTTTAATCTTGACGATTATTTGTACGCATTATATGATGTAAATTTCAAGAGTTCTACCTGTAACAAATACTCAAATTCATAGTTGATTGATGTTATATCTTGAAAAGTTGATTTTTCTTGATACTACCGCGTATAACAGAGCACTAGAACATCAAAACCCTTCCAAGTCACAGTAAGAAGACAGAAGACTAACGAAAAGAATATTATTCCAAACAGTGTCAATCATAGTACAAAATTGTCAGGTATTTATAGTTTTTAGTGAGAACGAAATCATCATTACAGTCTTCCAATCCGCATACAGGGGGTTATTAGCATTATCCAATCGGGAAGCTACACGTAAGAATTCTAGAATATTCTTCCGAATGATGATTGGATGGAACATCTTCGGCTCCTTCTGAGCCACTTACAGCTTCCTCGAGTTCACCGGTGGTCCGTCATCACACCTCCCCCCTTTAAAGTCCGTTGTGTAAGATTTTTTTCTTGGATCCACCTGAAGCTTGGGTGTCGCATTCCTCTTGCGGTCCATTACTCTCGAGGGTTGTACAGCTTTCTCTCTGCGTCGTTTGTCTTTTCGATGTTTGCGCTCATGATGGTTCTTCTGAGATGAATCTACGAGCAATTGAAATGGGAGACGGTTTTCTGGGACCACTGTGCTATCATTTCTTTGCATTTGATTTATGTGTCTTATGCATTTTCCGACACCTTTCCGGACTAGGTACAGTACATTTCCGATTCGATGTTCCATGACACCTAGTTCTCACTTCCTATTACCTTGATACGATCTGACAAGTACCTTTTCACCCACCTGGAAGCTACGATTGACCTTACGATCTTCATTCGTGGGTTTATTTGTCTCTCTGGGCGGCAACATACTGTTAAAGACTGTCCGGATTTATCTTCCGAACATACACTCGGCTGGCGACTTTCCTTCTGGTACTGCAGGATTAGGGGTAACTCTGTACGACATTAAGAACTTACTGATCACTTGTTCCGGGATACCCTCACCTCCCCCTTTGACCAGAGCTCTCTTTAACGTATCTACGAATCTCTGCTTGGCCGTTCGACTGAGGATGGTACGGAGGAGATTGTAGGTGCGATATACCATTTTCACTGCAAAAGCGTTTGAAAACAGATGACATAAACTGAGTACCGTTGTCGGTCACTAATATCTCTGGAACCCCGAAACTAGCAAACAATCCTGACAATCTTCTTATTGTACTCTCCGATGTCATTTTCGGCATGTCATGTACTTCTGGATCGATCGATAATAACAACAAATTTTCAGAAAGGTCCTTTTCCGATTATTTTCCATTGTTTAAATATGGAATTTAGATTGATATCATGAATGGATCGATGTTAGATTATAATTAAAAAGTTGGAAGCACTGGACGACCGTTTTGTTCTAGTATGTGACTCTTCCATGGCAGTGCGCATCCACGATGCCGCACGCGAGACTTGAATTCAGGACCTTTGGTGACGAGTGGAGTTCAATCATGTGTGTTGTGAGTCAATTACTCACTGAAGACAATGGTGGACGGTCGCGCAATATTGTTGATTGGTTGAAGTTAGACATAAACACCGTTGGATGCGGGCTCAGTTGTCTACAGATTAAGCGTTCGCACGCGAAACCAAAAGTCCTGGGTTCAAGTCTCGCGTCCGGGATCGTGAATACACACTGCTGGAGAGTTCCATACTAGGATGAAACGGCCATTCAATGTTTTCAGGTTTTCAATGGTGGTCTAACACCGATCCATTCATGATATCGATCTAAACGCAATAATCTCCACAACCCTATACTAATTAATATGAAATTGAAAAGTTATTATATTAAGTGTCGAGTGGTTTTGATAGTCTGACTTGTATCGGTGAATTTCCTTGTTTCTAGGACTACTAGTACTATAAATCTACATTATTGAGTCAACCACGCGATTTAAAATGTGATAAGTATGAAACTAACATTCAAAATATTTACAAAGAATTTGTATTTTCTTGTTATTTATAGTGACGAATGAATCTAATCAATCTCTGTTAACATATTATGTCGTGGAAATCTTGAATGTGATACTTTGATATTGCTTGTATTGTTAAGCTTAATTTATATTTCTGGTTAGTGACTAACATTCAAGATGTATGTTTCATCCTATTTAACACTCATTAACTGAATGAACCTGAATCTCTGTACATATATAGATCACTGATTATTGTTGATTAGCGAGAGGATGTATCTACTAAATAATGTGAGGAAGACCCACGGGTGAACTCGAGGTAGCTCAGATAGAACCGAAGATATTCCATCCAATCACCTTTTTTTAAGAATAATCCAGAATCACTATGTATAGCTTCCCTATTGAACAAATGCTATTTTGTTATTTATTTAAACGCATAAACATAGGCACAAGGAGGCACCAAACAGATATGCGCCACATAAATCATTCGGTTCGTGTGAGGGCTGCGATACTGCCCGGGTGCCCAAACCGAAACAGGTGGTTTTCTCAGGGGGCCACACCCGAAGTCTTTGACCCAAAGGTCTGATAGACAAGGTAGTGGAGCAACGTGAGGAGATGCAGTCCCATGGTAGCCGGTGACCAACAATGGACTCATATGTCATTTGTTCCTTCAGGATACTGGAGCCGATGTACACCATTGGTTTGGAATTAGGGTTTTCCAACAACCCTCTTCGTGTCCACCAACCCGGTTAGAGGGCAGGACATGTGCTTTTCATCCTTTCAATTTCGTAAACAACAGTAATACCGCTTGAACGCAGTGAATAGAACCTCTCTGACAGTGGCTGTATACGCCTGGTCATTTGAAAGCATTAGGAGAGGTAGAATTGACTCTCTTCACTTTTTGAGGGAGGACTATAATGATGATTTCCTATAAATACCTGACAGTTTTCTACCATAAGTGACACTTTTAAGAATAGCATTCCTTCTCACTTATCTTCTATCTATTCATTTACAACTTGAAAGAGTTTAAACGTTCCAGTGCTCACATTGTACACATGTAAAATTGGATATATAACAACCCTTTATTATATTTAATGAAAGAAGTCAGTATTGATTTTATCGGCAAACATCCAAACGTAATATATATACGTACAATTTATATAATGATCATTATAACAAAAGTTAATAGTTGACCATTGATAGAGAATCATTCTTAACCATAGTCTACTTTATCTTAGATATCATATACAAGGATATTGTTTATACTCCATTCATTGAATAGATCCATACTGGACAGATTATTCATGAGATGTGTATAGATACTCATTGATGTTTTGTTTTGTTTTGTTTTTTTAAACTGTTGTTTCATGTATATATTTTGTATTATAATATAAATATAACCATGATCTGTGATCCAATTCAAGTGTATTATTATTTTGAAATAATGTTAGATCAGATTTCCATGGAATAATATTCCAATGTTCATGTTTCCATAATTTCATTATTGATGATTTATAATAGTTGGCGGTAATATGTTGAAAACTTTTACTTCTTATTAAAGAGGAATTGACGTTCAATGGATTAGATCCAATGAAATGTCTTGATTGATTCATGAAAATAAAAGAATTTTGTAATTATTTATTGAATCAATATTGGTATAGTATGACAATACTGTTTCTTATATCCCTATGAGAATAATATAATGATAACTGTTGGGATCCATTTATAGATCAATACTATACGTATATTTTTATGGTATAATTGTTAAGTCGATAAACTAGGCATATTCATATTTCTCTTATTACAAGCTTGGCGAGACTCTAATTTATGCACGACGTTTGAACGAATCTTAAGTAACCTTGAGAAATATTAGCCAATCAGCAAACAGTCAGTATAGTGTAATCACAATTGATTGATCACTGGGTGGTGATCAATCTCATGCTTGTCTAGTCCTTATTAGTGCAGATCGAATGCTATCGATCATGTTGCAATGTGGCCACCAGTCTAGGTGACTCGACACTGCGGGCACTATGTATTGAGATTAGATGGTGGTTGGAGGTAGTCAACAGGACTAGACAAGCATGAGATTGATCACCGCCCAGTGATCAATCAATTGTGATTACATCTCAGTCCTACAGGAGGTTAGTCACGGCTCGGATAGCTCAGTGGTAACGTCTCTGACTGTGAAGCTGGGTGACATGAGATCGAATCCGCCAGGGAGCATCAGTTCCCTCAAGATTACAGGTACACCTTGCTGACGAGTGCCAAGTAGCACGAAACCCGGGTCCAGGGTTTCCTGTTGACTACCTCCAACCACCATCTAGTATAGTGTAGAAATATGTTATACAAAACCAAGGAAATAAAGTGTATACACTTCTTATACGTGGTTCAAAAACTTGTCGGGGTTAGAAAGAGGTTCAGACGTTCTAAAATCGTAATGCATGCAGTAGAGGAAATCATCCATACGACTACAGAATAGTCGGCCTCAGGAACCATGACAAGGTCGCAAAACTTTTTCAGCTCCGACTACATAGCTTCAATATTGTTTATGTGCACTCCAGTTGTTGAGTGCACAAAATACTACTTGTGAATAACGACACGATGCACATAACCAAGCCTATGTAGGAGTCTGTACGCCCTCCAAACATCCATATATATTGTAGTACCTGGCTTCAGTCAGTGTTACTGGTGGTTTTATTATCCAGTTCGCAGTAACTGTCGTAATTTGCCTTAGTTAGGAATTATATATAGGGTTTTCATCAAGAACTGACACCAACTATAATGCCAGAAATTTATTTAGCCAAATGGATGAAATGTGTTAAAATCCGAGTTCTATTATCTTATACTTGATTGATTCGTCCACAAATTATAGTCTTCCCGTTTTATTTGTTATAGCCGCTCAATTATCACGTTTTGTACAAAATTCCCTGTGAACCGATCGTACGTTAGCATTAAGCGCTGAAGTTGGCGCCGTAACCCTGAAATCTCTAAAACGCTTCTGATTGGCTCGTCCATAAATTGGAGTCTCGCCCCATCTCCTACATTCACAACTACTTTGGGTTAGATCTTGTGTATAAATGTTGTTTCCTATTTTATGGTACGATGTGGTCTGTTTGATTGGTATATAAATCCAGTATGCTTCAAATAAATGATTCATATCGCGGAAATTGGTGTTCTGGACTCAGTAGACTGAGATAATCAAGAAGAAGGACCGATAAAGACTCTAGAGTGGCCGTATGGGTTTTATGCGTCATTGGTCCGGCCGATAAATCACTATTCTCTAATTGGCAATATCATTATGATACTTTCGATTGATAGCAATTATATGGATAGACAGATAGATAGATAGATAGATTTAGATATGAGAAAGTCGACATGATGTGTATTTCAGAAATGTTTATAATAAAACGATATATGATCTATTTTCAGAAAGGACTAACAGTATCAGTTTATAAGAACTTTTGGCGAGACTATAATTTATGGACAAACCAATCACGTATAAGATAACAGGTCTCGGGTTTTGGTACAAAATTCACTCATCCATTTGAATAAATAGGGTTTTAGCATTATAGTTTATGTCAATTCATGATGAAAACACTAAATTTAATTCCTAACTCTAACCATCAATTGTAAATCGTAATTCTAATTACTCAGACAAATTTATAACCCCCATTTGATCCTAGTTACTAGGTAGATACTCTCAAGGTCAGTCGAGCGTCGCTAAAAGGTTGTCCATAAATTATAATCTCATCGAACTCTTGTCTAAATTTGATCGAGTAGTTTCACAGTATGTGAGCGCTGAGTTGATGTGTGACATTAAAGAGGAAGAATGTATTTGTAGAAATCTAAGCGAATGAACTTGAAGTAAATCCATTGTTTCACATCGTATCTCTCTTACACACTAATTTAAATACCTAATTTAAACATTGGTAACGTTGAACTGAACGTGAACTGGAGAACCATATACCTATTTATATTCGATAATTTTGGCCGTTTCGTCCAATGCTTCCGAGTTTTTCATGGTGGTCTAGCTTCAATTGACTCATGATCTCAACCGCTGAAATGGCTATAATATCCACAAAAAGCCCCCCTGATACTTAGTGAAAATTGTACAATAACTACTAAGCAACTACTCTAGCCGTGACTTAATTCTAACATGACTGTTAACTAATTCTTCGACATTCGAAAGTTGATCTCATAAAGTAGGACGAAACGGCCGTCCAGTGATTCCAGGTTCCTCATGGTTGTCTGACTTCAACTGACTCATGAATTCAACAATTAAATTAAGTATTACGTAAAGCAGATAATCCATTTTGATGGTTCTTTGAATCAGGGCTAATTAAGATGACTGAGATCTATATTGCTCACAAAAAAAATCGTAACCTTCATTGGTAATATTCAGTTGTCTCAGAAATGCAATAAACAAGAAATGAACACAGTTAAACTAATGCAGGATAACCATCCATAAAGTATCTTATAGTGAACTTGAATTGGATAGTCGGTATCAACTAAACAAAAAAATTCCAGTAGTTCGGTTCGGAATTTATAGCGGCTACTCTGTTCTTTTTTGTCTTCATTTGTTTTTAAAAATCTAATACCGTATCACCAACAGAACTTCTAAACATGAATCGTTGAAAGTAACCACATGATCCGGCACGTTAATCTAATAGACGAAAGTGTATACTAACAGATGACTTAGTACTAACCAATCTCACATTGTTTCTTTTTTATCACTGACAGAATTATACTGACTAATCGCTGTAAATACTTCAGTCCTATAAGGAGTCATTCCTATTCCCATTAAGCCGAAAAGCAAAGTATTAGGTCGGAGGGAAACAATCTACTTAAAGTGATGGATATATTTTAATGTTGACGATTGGTAACGAACACGAAACGCTAACCATTTGTCTACAAATGCCGTGGTACTATCGAGAGTGGTGAAATTCAGCTCTACCTCTCCAAATGCTTTCATATGGCCATGTACATACAACCACTGACAGGGAAGTCCTACTCATTGCCTTATCGCATCACGGGTGTTGTTTACGAAATTGAGAGGATGAAAAGTGTATTCTCGTCGCTTTAACAGCGTTGATGGATATGAAGGGTTGCTGGAAGCCCTTGATTCCAAATCAATGGTGCACATGGACTCCAGAATCCTGAGGGAACAGATGGCGTAGGTACCAATCGTTTTTTACAGGCTACCATTGGACTGCATATCCTAACATTGCTCCCTGTTTTGTGGATTACATCTTTAGGTCGAAGGCTTCGGGAATGGCCCTCTAAGAAAACCGTCTGCTTCGGTTTGGGCACTAGGGCAGTATCACAGCCAACACACAAATCAAGTGATTTGTGTGACGCATATGTATTCGGTGCCCCTTTGTAACAATATTTATGTGTTCAAATAAATAGAGTGAATACCATCGAGTATCCGATCGATTAACTCCAACCACTTAGAATCAATTTATTTGAAACTAACAAGTTCAACCTTAACATTAATACTTACAATTACGGTTATTATTATTAATTACCAATCTGCATACTTTATATCATATTAGTAGACATTAATACAAATGACTTGAGTTTTCGCTATCCGATCGCTTCATATTTTGTTTAATACTCTCAGCTATAGATTCCTTTTCTTGTTGTATAATTTTCTGTGCCCAGTATGCAAGTTTCAATTATAGCACTACTCAGTCGTCTACAGAAATCATATATACGATAGAAAATCGAAGGTGAATTAACCGTATTTGAAAAATCTCTATGAGATAATAGTTTCCCACAAACTTTTATTGGTAATTATAGAGAAGCAAGAATGGAATATCCTATAGTCAATAAAAAGCCATTCTAAACTAGCCTCCTTATGTCAAACAAATAACTTACTAAGACAAATAAGGTGGATAAATTCCTACCTCACTTTTCTTCCAGTTATATTTCCCAGTTTACGTGTATGTGCTGAAGCTAATGTACACCATCAGTTTGGAATCAAGGGTTTCCAACAACCCCAATTGGATCCTCCATATCCACCAAGGCGGTTAAACCGACGGACATTCACTTTCCTTCCTCTCAATTTCGTAAACAACAGCCCCTCCGTGAGAAGGCAGTGAGTAGGACTTCCCAGTCAGTGGCTGTATACATATGGTCATGTGAGAGCTTTAGGAGAGGTAGAGCTGACTCTCCACACTCTCGGCTGTATCAGGGTATTTAAGGGCTTACCATACTGTTCCATTTTGAATGAATAAATTTACTAGTCAGAATAATGGTGGTATTTATTGTTAAGTTAAATTCAAGCTAAATAGGTCACGTCTATTATTTAAACGATTTTGTTTTAATACAACATATCCATTTCAATTATCTAAAATTTAGTCCGTGAATGATACAATTGGGTTGACCCGGCTAAGATAGCTAAATCATTGGACCATTTTTATTCTGACTAGTTTCCTAATGATTCATATAACTTAAATAAACCTAATATTGGTGTATTTAACTGTAAAGTTATACAACTCAATTCAGGTTCCATAGGGAAGCAACGATTTCTACTAGATTACAGATAAACTACTATTGACAGATGCTAATTACCATGAATTATAGTTCCAGGACAACTGGGCAATTGTATCCAAGCATTGAAATCATCAATTTGAAAACAAATCAAAATAACTTAACACCTTTTTTTTCAGATTTTTAACTTTGTAACACTCAGTTTGGGTTCTAATTACCGATTCATTATGTGAATATACGGCGTGACTATGATTTACGAACGAGCCGATCAGATATAAGATAACAGGTCTCGGATTT